CAGTACAACCCTGTATACCCACTGAGTGTGTGATATAGGGTATGTGAATAAACCTGACATGATGTGAAGCTGAAGATAAAAAACCAGATTTGTCACAGAATTATTCTGTGTCCATACCTGGAAGGCCTCCTTGGCGATGGCATCATCCTCGTCTCCGCGTGCCCATGGCTGCCGGTGCTTGGAGTTCAGGCTGTCTCCAAACACATCAATGTAGAAGAAGACGTACTGCTCGTGAGGAAGATCTGCTTGCCGGAACTGAACCATCAGCTTCCTGAAGACGTCCGGGGAGCAGCAGACAAACATCACTGTGACAAGGAGAGACAGGAAGCAGCGTTCAGTTTCAAGAAGCTACTTGAGCACATCACCTGTTAGTGGCGATGTTCAAGCTCATGACAATACTTTATCATTTGGTGTGACAACGAGAGACATTTGCCAACCCCTGGCTGAAAACATCAGGTGACCAGACAACATCAAAGTTCAAAGGTCAGAGGTCCCTGGAGTGAACAGCCAGTCAGAGCTTCAGATGCTGTTGCTGTGTGGATACAAGTTTGTGGAATCGTTTGGATAAATTTAGAAATCACTGTATTTGTATCTGGACACAAGTCATGTGCACATGGAGCCTCGGTCTAACTATAGCTGCTGTTATGACAAAAACAGACCCAGCATGTTAAATCAGACAGTGAGTGGATATTTCCACACACTGTTTAGTGTGACAGGAGGTGGAAAACTGATGTGTGTGTCTTGGAAACATTTACACCAAACTTTTTATTGTAAGTTGTGCAGACACTGTGTGATTTTTTTTTTATCTGGTATGATGTGTTAGGTCATGCTAAATGTTTTAATCAGAATAAATTGGATGCAGGCACTGTACGTCTGTCCTCCACTGAACCTCTGTTCACATCGCAGCAGCTTGGACGCCGCACTACAACATGTACAATACTACTTAAATAATGTTACAACCAGTTCACTGCGGCTGATGGCAGCAGTCGTGTTGATAAATCCCACAGTGGAACTGCTCTTACTGCAGACATCTGATCAAATTTCGAAACGATCACCTTGGAGCCAGATCATTGATTGTTCAGGTGATTAATCGGGCGCCAGGAAACTGCTCTAACTGCACGTCACAGGACAAGTGATCTGGCCAAATTAGTCTGATTTGCTGCCAAAATCGAGAAGCTGTACAGCATCTGCCCAGCTTCAGAGATCAGCTCCACGCAGTGTGACTGAGCTTCAGAAATCATGAACTTAGTCGTTATCTGACCCAACATTTTATATAGCATCCAACAGTGCACTTCACAACATTGAAACAAGATGTGGTGCCTGGGTATCAAACAGCTGTCGCTGATTGAAGCTGAGCATCACCTCTTTAATCCACAGCCACTGTTCCACTGCAAATCTAATCTGCTGGAATCACTCTCCTAACGTGATTCTGACCAAAGGAAGTTATAAAAGACCACAACATTTGCACAGTTATGAACAAATGGGCCTTCTCAGACATTTTCTGTAAAGACGTTTCCTGTGTTGAAGCCTTTTAAAGTAGACAGGTCGGCACCAGGCAGCGAGAGTCATTAGCAAGACAAAGACATGAGCAAGCTGCCAGACTCCTGAGTCAGACCCGGGCCCAGAACAGCAGCACACACAGCGCCTGTCACAACCTCAGCTCTATGGTCACGCAGAGCCAGTTGGGAGCAAATGTATGTGCTTCTGCTGCTATGAAACGAGGCCTCGCTGTGTTTGTGGATGGATGTGAGAAGAGAAAACAATGAATACAACGGCGCTGCGTGTGCACAGCAGCAAAGGCCGCCCAGAGTGACTCAGACGGCTGGAGGTGAGATTAGCTGCCACCTCCTGATCTCCCTGATCACACGAGTCACCTGTCAGGAGGAGCATCTGTGGGGCTTATCACAGATGAGTGTGTGTTGAGTTCTTCTGGTGACTCTGAGCATCACCTGTTCAGTTCTGTTGTTAAACTGAGAAAATCCATCAAGCTTCTGAGCGAAGGAGTCCTCGGCAGCTGATGTTCTGTACCAAGACTTAGAAAAATCAGTAAGTCACTGATGGGAGTTATCGGCTTGGGTTAGTCCAGAGTCTTCTCACACTATTTTTACATTTTGCTGAGCTGAATAAACAACTGTGAGTTTTTACATTGACTAAACCTTTAGTAAAGCTCTATTTGTTGTTTCACTCTTGTGGCAATGACTGATGTTGCCTCATGACAGTGATGCAGATTTAACCAAACGAGCGCAGACTTGGGGGCATCCTGTGATTCCTGCTTTACTCCAGTGTCACATTTCTACTTCATTCTTAAATAAAAGCACACAAAAAAAAAAAAATCAGGCAAAGACAAGCACTAGGGGTTCTTTAGTGGATGACATTGCTCAATGTGATTTCAATCACTGCTCTTTTCAAGCTCAAGGAATAATTTGGTAAATCTAGTTCTTCGTTTTGTACATTTTGTCCTAAAAATGTTTTAAATTCCTTAAAGTAGTGCATTTCTTTCTGTTTGTCCTTGAGTAAAAAATCAGTTTAGTGTATTAAAATGCCACCACTGTGTCCATGTGCTGACAACTTACTGAGATGTTTAGATCAAAAACGATTGGATCCAGTGTCAGTTTGCCTGGCTGCATGGCCAAAGGAGCATACTAGTAGAACATTGTCTTTCTAACAATTAACAACTTATTTATCCTTAAACAAATGGTGTTTAAATCAGAATGTGCGTTACAGCTAAATATTTATCGATCATGAGCCTCTGACAGGACCTTGGTTGTTTCTGGCTTCTCATTTATTATGAATTATGTTTTTAATTTGTGATTCTTTCTTTAAAATTTAAACAAAGACATAATATCTTTCCACAATGTGTCAGTTATCAGAAGTTAATATTCTTAGTAACTGTTATCAAGCCTAACAGCCCCACACCGGTCTAACCTCAGTTAGTGTCAGGTCGCAGTATTTGCTCCCTGTTTCTCAGATGCTGAGCATCCAGAGTTTCTTGGCTTCCTCTGAGTCTTGATCCTGGGGCCTCTAGAAGTCTCCAGGGGCACGATGACATTCCTCCAGCCGGGGGCTCCTGTCCCACCGCCTCAGTTGTTCCAGGCTTTAATAACCTCTGAACAGGAAGGGGCTGGTGAAACCACGGAAACCAGGCAGGCTAAAAGTTCTCTTCCGACTGATAGTGAGCTAAAAAAGAAAAGTCCCTCCCCGAGGAGTTTACAATCTGCTGAAACTGAATCACTACATTTTAAAAGCTGCTCTGTAAGCGCGTGCCAAAACAATACTCGCTCTGCGCTTTCTGACCTCGCCTCTCAGCTCTGTACCAAACAATCCCATACTTTCGTCATTCAGGGAAATGTCATCTCCTCTTATGCATTAATTCATATTTATCGTGCACAGGTCCACACCCACACACACATATCTACTTCTATCTTTGTAAGGACACTCAGTGACATAATGCATTCCCTAGCCCCTAACCTTAACCATCAGAACTAAAGGGATAACCTAAACCAAATTCTAACCTGAACCCTAAAGCCAGGTCTTAACCCTCAGAAAGGTGTTTCGGTAAGTGAGGAGCAGCCTCACTTTCCAGAAGTGTCCTCACTCTGTTGCAAAAAAAATTTTTTTTTGGTCCTCACTATACAGCAAGTACAAGAACACACTCATGTGCCTGGCTGCTGTCCACCACAAAGTTCAGGAGGTCAGAGGCTCGGTTCGCAGGTGGCTCAGCATGTAAGCTGGAATCTGATCTGAATACATGATACCGAATTAATTACTTCAGAAATGCAGTGTCACTTTCTCTTACAGGCATCGGCAGATCACTGAACGGGTCTGCAGGGGCCCAGGCGCTTAGGGAGCCTGTGTGAAGTGATGTTTACTTGGTGGAAAGTCAAATAATCACACAGATGCAAAACAGCCAGCCAGCAACAACCATCTCAGCATCATGGAGTCAGTGTGGGACCACATGCAGAACCAGCCTGAGTCCGCAGGAGAACTGGGGCAGCTGCTCCAAGACACTGCAAGTAGCTTCCTGCCCAGAACCTGGAGACACTGTGAGCAGGTGCACTGAGGAAACCCGGGATTTAAAGGGGGATGACAGCAAATACTGATCTGGTTTAGATTTGTTTCTGTCTACTGCACTTTGGATGAAGTTAACAAATACTGTAAATAAAGTCATGGTGTGATTTTACTTTTAGTGCCTGAAACATCTGCACAGTATGTGGCTATAAAATGCAGGATTCTGGTTTCTAAACACCTAAATATCTGTCAGAGAGTGGAGTTTCCAAACAACTTGTCCTGTTTGGGTCTGGTTTGTCTGAGTAACCAAACAGGACAGGAACAGACTCCAGTGGACAGTCAGGACTGCAGAAACAACCATCGGTGCCAGCCTGCCCTCCATGGAGGACCTGTACACCTCACGGGTCAAAAGGAGGGCGTTGAAGATTTCTGCAGACCCCACACCCCGAACACAAACTGTTTGAGCTCCTCCCCTCTGGACAGCGTTCCAGGTCACTGTACGTGAAGACAACCAGGCACAAGGACAGTTTCTTCCCCCAGGCTGTCACTCTCATGGACAGTTAACCATGACTGAAGCAACAGGACTCAACAACCACCGCAGTGCAACGAGTGTGAACAGTACCGCTACATGCACCAGTCTGATAGCTCAAAATATGTATATATGAATATAATGTTTATGACTATTATTTCTCCTCCTTCTCCCACGCTTCCGCTACCTTTGATTGTACTGTTCTATTGTCTGTTGCCTAAAACACAGAGAGCCTCTGTGCCGGAGACAAATTCCTTTATACTCAACATACTTGCCGATTATAGCTGATTCTGATTCTAAGCTAAACTAGTGGCAGCAGATTAAATCTGCCACTGTCACTTCAGCTTGTAGCACCTGATGGCTGATTATACTAGAAATGAGATGCTGCTCATCCACGTCTGCCTAGTTTCGCTTGGTTGGTGGTAGCTCTATTATTTAACTGACCATCCATAGATCATGTGATGGCGTGAGTCATGAGTTTGCTGCTGTGTCAGGCTGACTGTGTATCAAAGGTCGGAGAGCAGAAACAACCCTCAAACCAGGAAGAAAGCGGTGTCACTGGCCTACAGGAGAAACCAGAGCACACTGCAGAGCACCGCTGACCTCTGACCCCTGCACACTTCCTGACTCTTACAGCTGTGCTGAGATTAAAGCAGAGCAGCTTTCACTCAACACTGCACTGTCCACATACGTGACAGGACTTAGTCTTTAACAAGCATGAGATGAAAACACAGGAATATGAACATCTGATCATCATGAGGTTTTATG